TCTCACGACTTATCACATTTGAATCGAAGCTCTATTTGTATTTTACCGCCTGCATACAAATTCAAAAATCATTCCACGCAGCATGTTGATTATTTCCCAATGCTCCCGACAATAAATCAGAGTTAATTCAATACGCAGCTGATTGCTCTGTGCACAATATAATAAGTAATCGGCACGGATCTTTGCATGAATTACGTATTTGCATAATTTTTCCGAACGGCGTGATTGGGTTACGCGGCTTATTTTTTATGGTCGCGCTGGTCCCCTGTGCATAAATTCGTTCTAAATCAAACATTATTAACATAAAACGAAACAACCGGGGGCGAAAATCTCACAAAAGTCTCGGATGGTGCGTGAAAATTGACAATTTGCATGTGTGGGTTAAAAAGGGTTAAAATAAAAACTAGTAGGTAGACAAACACAAAAGCGAATTCGGAATTATTTTAAATATTTCCCCGTGTGAAAGAAAGATGCAGGCAATTACAACAAAAGCAGGGAGAGAGTATCATTTGAATATGAAAAATAGCAGTTGTCTCCCCTAATAAATGAAAAATTTCCAACCCTTCTTTCTTTCATTTTTTGTGCGCGCAGGGTGCGTGCGTTTTGATGATTGTGATAAATCAGCGCCGCTGCCAGTTTCTTTCCTTTCTTTCTCCGCTCCCACATTTGCATATTGTTCGAAATTACTCACATGCACTCGCGGCGTCCGTCGATCGGCCGCTCGTTACTTTTATTATTTGCGCTTGCCGTTTCGATGAAAAAGCAACGCGCCACTTTGTTGCTCATTCAAATCGTGGGCATTCAGACATCTGATTCGTCTCTCTCTGCATTGATCTTTCCTAACAAGGGCCGCGCCGGCGGTTTCGTTTTATTTTGCTGATGCATCATTTTTTAAATATCCACAAGGGAGATAGAAAGATATAGATGCGCGCCGCGTTGTCGGTGTGATTCACTCGTCCTTTTATTCATTTCGGCGACTGTTATTAATGAGATTGCGGATTAGCACTGATTGTTGCGCGTTTTACAAATAATTCTGTCCCCGATCTGTGATAAAGCGCCGTGAGAATCGTCAGAAAGGGGAAATAATTGCAAGCAAAAAAATCGTAAATTCGGTATGGCATTAATTGACGTTGCACGTTCTTTTTGTGAGATATTAAATATTTTAAAATTAAATTGTAAAAATACTGAAACTAAAAAAAAGATAACAAGTTTTCATTATTAAAATCACTTTTTTACATGCATTTAATTTCTATTCTTATTATTTAGAATAAATTAATCTATTAAGAGAATATTAATTTTTTTTTCAAAATATTATTATAGTATTGTTGTTTAATTTTTAAATTGTTATTGATTAATTAATTTAAAATATAAAATATTAAACAGATATGTTTATTTTGAGATAAAACGATCATACAGAAATGGTAAATTGAAAAGGAGTTCTCAGATGTGTGACGTTGTAATTTAGTTAAAATAATATTTTGCGATATATAATAAAATATTTAAGTAAATATTAAACCTCTTCTTCTTCTTGCCATGCTCTTTTTATATAACCCAAGCATTTTAAACTTATTTAAGATGGAGACTTTTCTTCAATTGTTCATCCGCTGGCTGCCGCTCTATTTATTAATGCGCTCTTTTTGTTTGACGCGCGAGTCCACGTCCGCATCACATCTCAACAGAGAAGAGTGGCGGCGAGGAGTTGATGTATATTGTTGACTGACTGCTGCGTCCGAAGTAATAAATTTTATTCTCTCCTGAAGAAATTCATTTATCATTTTTCATTTTCGTTATTTCTTTCATTATGTTTTCGTAACAAACGAAACACACGCGGCACTCTCCCAACCACGCAGCACTTATATTTATATATAAATTTTTTTTCGTATCAAAACATATGAAAAGAAAAAAATGAGAAGACTGCTGGCGCCAGACTTAAATAAGAAAATCCTTTGTGCGAGGTAATGTACAGACAAAATCGTATACACATCTATACATCACACATTAATAAGCCAGGGATAATGAGATTTAGAGCCGAGATCGAATTTCAAGAGTCTCTGCTGCTTGAATTTATTTTTATTCAATTGAATGGGAAAACCTACTTGCTGCTTTGCATATATATTCCGTTTCGCCGTAAATATTTCGTCAGCTTTTAAAACCTTTTAGAGCTAATAAAAATCCCGAAAATTCTGTCGTAAAACGCACATATAGTCGTACTAATGAGCCAGTTCTGCCTCTCGACGGCAATAACATGGCAACGAAATAAGCCATTTAAACAAGGGTAGGGCGCGCGCAAAGTAAATTAAATGCAGCAAACGAGCTCAAAAGCAGTTTCTGATTGGCATGAAAGTCAAATATTCCCCGGCGTGTATTTATTTGACCAACCGACCAGCCTGACGAGAGGCAGCACAAGTTCTCCACAAATATTTGAGGCGATATGCATAAAGAACTGTGGGAACCAACGAAAAATAAACTGGTGACAAATTAACCTCCCACGAGCGAGCCCGCCAGCAGAGATAGACAGACGCGTTACACTATTTGTACAAGCCTCCGCGCGGCAGCCGTCATCGCCGCGACAACCAGCAAAAAGATGAGTTTCCGCCGCTTTTTTACGCTGGCTTTTGCTGTTCTGCGAAAAGTGACACTCGAAATTACAAAATACAAACTGATGTAATTTATTACCGGTCCTAATTTAATTCATTTGACGCTATCAACATTTAACGACCTTATTGACATAGTCAAATCAAGTCTTTACAACAATGATGATTAAATTTTCCAATTATTGATCAAAATGTTTCCTATTGTTGAAAAGACTTGATTTGACTATGCCAATAAGGAGCCTTTAACCACAGTTTTAAATTATTTATAAAATTTTATTATTTCAATTTTTAAAAACAAGCTATTTTGCAGATTTAGCTTCTTTTTTAAACACACTATAAATTTTTAAAATTTAAAAAAAGATTACATGAAGCAATGCAGCACAAAAATTTTAAATGTGTCATAATTTAATATAATCGAATATAATAATAATTTTTAATTACATTTATTATTTTTATAAACGTAAAATATATGCAATTAGATTGTAGAGACACACATGCAGCGTTTTAAACCAGCTTTTCTTATTACTTAAGGACTCCTTATTGACATAGTCAAATCAAGTCTTTACAACAATGGTTTGTTAAATTTCCAATAATTGCCCAAAATGGCTTCTATTGTTGTAAAGACTTGATTTGACTATGTCAATAAGAAGGCCTTAAATATTTTAACACTTAGTTTTGGAAAATAATTTCATTAAATTAATTATTTAATAAACAAATTAACTCAACCTGCGCTTATTTCAAGTTGAGAAATCTCGTTTCCAGCTCGTAAGGCAATAATCGATTTTCCCAGACGGAAACAGGAATCGCTGCAGATTAGCATAATAAAAATCGAAGAGGACGTTGGAATAAATAAGGAAACCCTCTTTATGGCTAAAGAAAACTAACACGCAATAACAAATGCAAAATAATCCCAGATGACTGCACAAAGTAAGTAAGCACTGGTTTGTCTAGCAAAGTAGCGTGACAGATCGTGATGACTGGTCAGTCACAACAATGCACTTTTGCTATACAAAACAACAATGGGAGAGAAGAAGACTATTTATGCTATCAAGTAATACGCGATAGATAGCTTGAATAAACCAAATCCACACCGCAAGATAAACTCGTCGCGTCCAGCACCTTGTGAAATCGGGGCCACAATAGGTCTTATTGTTATTGTCCGCGGACTCGAAGGTGCAGGACACGGTCAGCAGTTGGAAATCACGGACGCATTGTTTGTGTAGCGCTAGCCGGCGGTTGATATGCATAAATTTGGGAGATGCCCCCTGCGTTATTTCCGCAGCTTTTGTTCTAAATTTCTCACGAAGCGCGCAAGAAAGGGATGCTGCAGGTCCAGAGGCAACAATGCATCTGCTGACCGTCTCAAAATCTGAATGTCACTAGCAGCTTCTATTATTTAATCAAGCTATACGAGCACGGCCGAGATCACAATGGTCCTTTTTGTTTCGTTGTTGTGCACTTTTCCGACTTATATTCCGTAATGAATCTAGAAAGAGGTTTTTTCCCAGCACATCATGTGCGCAGAGATGCGTAGCTCCATATGAGAGGCTTGGGATGCTGCAACAGCCACAGATCTCATGTGAAAAAATGACCACAAATTTCTGTTGAGGCAACACAAAAGGCGTAACGAATTTTTCTAATTGCTCAAACCCATTGTTGAATTAGTTTGAAATCGTGTAGCTGATCTTTTTGTAGAAACTTTATCGCCAAACATAGATTTAAACTAAAATTTTTATTATTTTCAAAGTTTCGAAATCAGGTGATATTTTTTTCAGTTGACAAATTGATACTTGAAGCAAATCGATAAATCGATAAAAAAAAACTAGGCCTTCCTGTTACCACCAATTTCAGGAGTAAAAGCTTTAAATTTTAACAATATTGCAGTATTAATTATGGATATTTTAATCTCTTGATTTACCTGATATTGACTGAATCTCATAATTTTCAGTTACAAAATTATAATAAAAATTTTATTACAGTTTTGTGTGCATTACTTCATATCATAATCAAATAGCCTCAGATCAAAACAATTACATCAGTATTTTTCCATCACACATCCACTTATTTAATAAAAAAAAAAAACTGTAACAATAATGAATAGAAAAAATCTAGTGTCAACATTTTCTCTGCGGTGCTCTTATTTGCTGATGCAAGCATTATATCAATTATCGCAGAACCTATTATTTGTCTACGTTTAATGTATGTGATTGATGTGACGTAATTGCAACACTGCACGCTGTAATTAAAAAGTACCGAGCGTTGTTGTCTGTGTATTGATTCAACACATCAACTGAGGAAATAAAGCGACGGGCGCGAAAAAATGGTTGATAGATAACAAGGCCGCGACTTGATGTGCGCATATAAAAGAAGAGAGGTGTTGACGTGCCAAATGCATTTATAATTGTTGTGTGCCTGAGCTTCCTATATTAACGACTGCTGACACCGACCGACATGAGGCTGACGGTGGGCGTGATCGCCCTTTCGGTTTTGCTCGCTGCGTCCGGCTGCTGCGCCAAACGGACAATAATTACCAGTAAGAAAAGCCACATTAGAATATATAATTTTTTTGTATTTATCGAGAAATCAAAGATATAAACCCCTATTTCGGAAATTATTTTTTATTTCTCAACAGATTAATCATTAAAATGAACTTCTCCAACCAATCAAGTAAATATGAACTCTAAATTAAAATTTTATGAAATTTATTAATTTTTCCATTCTTAGTTTATTTTTTAGTTTTTTCTTTATGTATTTATGAAGTATAATGTTAAACAAATGACAATATTTTTCAATTTAAATATTCTACGTCGCTAAAATTTTTCTGAAAAATTGAACTAAGACCAAGTTCCGGAGTCTAAATAAAATTATTTTACCCTACACTGTTATAACTAAAACAAATAATTAATATTTGTCTTTTAATTTAATTTAAAAGAAAATGATGAGATATATAATTGCTCTCATAAGAAAATTCTTGTAAATAATTATTGTGTCAATTTTAAAATGATTCCGCAAAAAAAAATGTTTTTATATTTTCAATTTATTTTTGCAGATCGTAATTTACTTGAGGACATTTTTGAATTTGTCGACTTGGTCCCTCTCGACGAAATCGAAGCTGTGATCAACAAGTGGATCGACGCAGATGCGACCGTCTCCACTGTATTTGAGTTTTTGCAGTCTGCCCGATACAGGGAGCTGATAGACCAAGAGAGCCACATTGCCGATTTTCACGCTTACTTGCAATTTCTGCAGGACTCTCGCGCCCCTGCCTACGATATGTGGAATTTGTACCGAATGTATCTAGGACTGGATCAGATCGACCCCCCTGCGATTAAAAAACTGGCCGCGAACCGGCAGCTCGATTCGGCGCCTCTGCTATCCATGGTGGACGAATGCCTGGCGCAAATCAACAAAGCCGACTTTGAGAAGTTGTACAATAGGAAATTGGTGGAGAGCGAGGATTTCAAGTATTTCGTGGACAGGATGAATACCGATGAGCATATTAATGTGCAAAACGCTCTCAGGGAGAATCCGCAATTTAAGGAAATCGTCGATGAATATCTCGTGAATGGCTATGATATGTACGGCGTGTTTAGAAAAATATTCACATTCTTCTTTCCTGACTCTGAATTTTATAAAGGAATTTCTTTGCAAGAAATGGTGAATTCTATTTGTTGCAGAGAAAATGAGAAGATGTCTTGCTGCAAGCAGGAATTAAAACAAAATTAAACTAATTCAGCAAAGTAATAAAAAAATAAATTTTCTTTTTCTCATTTTTTACTTATAACAATAGCAGCTCATCTTCAGTGCAGCTTTAGCCTTTGCTTGTTACAATTCAAGAAATTAAATTAAACGAATTATAGATTTAACACGGAATGTTGCAGAAAATCACAGTTAATAAATAAAATTAATAAATTGCATTGATATTGTTTGTATGTCCACATTTCTCCATTTGTTAATAAAAAAAGTTTTTTTTTCGATTTAAGAGCATGGTTTTTTGCTGAAATAAATTTTTCAGATTCCTGCTAATCTGAAGTCTCATGTTTACAGAAAAATTTCTTATAACAAAATTATCCACAAATATTTCAATGTACTTGAAAAGACTTTTTAGATAATACTTTTGAGTAAGTTGAAGGTAATTTTTAGTTTCAAAGTGTGACATTGCTTTAATACCGTCATACATTTTTTTACCGTTTCTGTAATTTGTCTCTTTGAGAAAAACGAAATGCTTAATGTGCACTCGCGAAATATTATCATATGAAAGCCGCATAAATAAAAACTCTCCGTCATACACGTCTTCTTTCTCTCTCCCCCTGTATGTGCGTTTGAAAGAAAGTCCAGTTAGTTTCAATTACGCCGCAATATTTCACTAAAAAAAGTTGTTCCATATTTCAGATCTCCGGTTACCCTGCGTTCGCATATAAAATTCAACTTGCGGGCTTCACACCTCAAAACGTCTCACGCGGCATGAGTTATTGCGAAATGTGTGAGCGCACAAAGGCGCAGAGAGATTGCAACGCGCGCCCCACAGCTAATTTTTTCGAGAGAAAATGAGCGTATAAATAAAAATTGCGCACGCGGCGGCTCTCGGCAGATGAAAAATTATCGCAATGACCTCAAAGAAAGAGTTGCCCATTACGGGGCAGAAACACAATATAATACAACATATACGAAGCGGAATTGTACGTGTTGCGATTGTATCCCCGAGGGGCCACGCCCATATTAAAAAAAAGAGCAAGGAGATTATCTTCTGTGTCAATTTTCCTGCGATTCTTGCAACATCATTGCTAAAGATGCACTCAAGATACGTCAGATGAATATGAGGTAATGAGCAATTAGAATCAAAATTCAGAATTGTGTGCTTTCATTTTTCTAATAAGTAGTTAATAAGAATGATTTCAGAGTTGAAAAAATGAACTAATTACTTACTGCCATAATTTTTATTATTACTCCAGCTTCATTCATCGAAATTTGGGAACATTCTTAGTTAGATTATAATAATTAATGATTTCAGCCAGCTGATGACCAATAAGAACAAACATTTCTTGAAACTTATGTTCGAGCATATGAAATCCATAAAAAATTTATTTCATTACGGCTTATATTCTACCAATAAAATTAAAATCTGAAAGATATAAAATTTAATTCATATTTTCTAGTAAATAAAATATTAAAAAATAATTGAAACGTAAATTGTAAAAAAGTACAAATATTTATGTATATATTTTTAAAACAAACAATAAAATATACTTTAAAATTTATTATAAATGTTAGATTAATGTGTAGATATGTAATTAATAATTTTTCTACAATGTATATAAAGACGCTATTATGTATTTGCTTGTGTATAGTTAATGGTAGATTAAAATCTATATATGTTGATATTTTCGAAACCGATCAGAAGTGAATGATTTTGAATACGTCATCCTTCATCCTTGTTCCTCTAAAGTTGATTCTCGTTTTTATTTTCCATTAATTCATATTTTGCAGCGATCCGTGTGCCAACTACTAATTTTCGTTTTCCATCTCCACGCACTCGTTTGTATTTGTTTATAATGCAAACCGGCATCTGCATATATTTATTGAAAGACGGCGGCGACGGCGAGCAGGGAGGGTCATCGTCCGTGTGCGCGCCTTTTCTTTATTTGACATTTTTTCTGCATTGGCACCAAATTGTGCGCCGTGTTCGGTCAGTCGCGTAATACACACAGGAAGCGCATGACTTGTATTAGAATTTCGACCGGCCAGCCGAGCCAACGTGCACACTTCTTATTTTTTTATTGTCGTTTTCGGCCGCGCTTGCTTATTATGTGATGGAATACGCGTGTCCGACGTCGCGTGTGCGAAAAGCACAATGCTTGATGGACGACCCGCCTGAAAAACGGCGGCAGCCGCGCCGAGTCACACCTTAAACTTACACATAATAATTTGAGCTGCTGGCCAAAAATTATGTTTCCGCTGATTTTGTCATTTCCATGCAAATCTATTTCCTTTCATAGTCAGAAAAAGAATCATATATAGAGAGTTATTTAAAAAAAATCACAAAATTAAATTAATTTACGGATTGAAATCATCTGGGTGTATTTGACCCATTTATGATTTTTAAAAAAAAATAAATAAATAAAAAAATGTAAATGTTATAATTATTACATTTCGAAATTTCTGACGTAATTTTTAGTTGATCATAAAACTCATATTGGTGAACAAAATCTTGCATTGAATACTATTTATAATTTGAGAATTTTCTCACTGATATTTAAATAGTTTTATAATTATATTTTTTTTCTTAGTATTTTTTATTGCTTAATCTTAATCATCATCTGCTATTAATTATTAAGATTGGATCAATATCCTATTCCACCTCACAAGTTTGCATTCTCAAATTTTTACAATAATTGTAAGATTGTTAATTTTCCATTGTAATTGTTTTTTGGCGGGATTTTTTTATCAGATCAGAGGCCACCTTTAGGGGCACTCGGTGCTGAACACAATCGTACCAGATTAGAGCGAGCTTGTATGAGTTTGGTACGAGTGTATTATAAATTTGTGCCGCCCTGATAAACAGCAAATTCACGGAGAACCCCCGCGGTTCATTAGCAAAGGCTGGCTTGTTTACCGCCCGCGTCCAGCCAACAATGAAAATGCTGGCCGGGCCGCCTAAAAAACACAGCGCGCAGTGCATTATGGCGCATTCAATTACATTTTCATTTTTAAGCCGGGCACACACAGACTAAAGAGCCACACCCAACCGTGTAAGCGCCGGATTTTAGCAAAATTGGGTTTCGGGCTGATTGCCTTGTTTTCATCCCACTAATTAATTACACGGTCAGATACAATCGAAAAAAGGATATTAAATAAATTTTTCAGCAGATTTTTATAATCTCGTACAATTTTCTAGATACAAGAAAAAACAATTTCTTGAAACTAAATAAAGCATGAGAATAGGACTAATAAACTTAAATGAAATTGCAAACACTGTGATAAAATTCACATTTTTTTTTACAAAACTTAAAAAAAAAAATAATAATAATAATTTTCAGCTTCTTTTGCTTAATTTTTTTCTTTGTCGTTGGTTCAATTAAAAGGAATATTGATCCACTCTTAAATTAGACTGTAAGTTGTTGTCGTTATTTTGCAATTCATGACCCTTGGTAATTTATCCATGGTTCATTTCCAATTATAGTTTTTCCTTGGTCTCAGTGTGCAATGTATTGAACCTTAAATCCGAATTGCTGGAATGAGGTTTTTAATTTGGAGCATAATTGAAATATCTGATGCTTTTATTTCTTTTCAAAAATATTAAGTTCAAATTCATGTAAAATTTCCCTTTCAAATCCGATTTAAATATTCCTTTGAATCACTTTGAATGAAAAACCGTGCATTCGATGTTTTTTTCTATTCTTGACCTTTATATTCGTAAGGCCAGAAATGCCAATCAGCTATGAATAATATTAAAAATTAAGCAAGTTTCACACTTCACAGAAATTAAGAGACACGTCAAATTTTAATAAACTCTGAGATTGGTACTCACTTATCTGTTGGAAACGCAGTGATCAGTTTTGAAGTCGAGAGCAGGTATCACGAGTTCGTCGTCCAAAACTTGAAATTGTTAAGGATTTCTCTCTTATCGAAGTCACTGGCCGGGCAGGCCGGGCTAGCTGGGCAGGCTCTGAGCTAGCCGGGCAGGCCGGGCAGGCCGGGCAGGCCGGGCTAGCCGGGCAGGCCGGGAAAGCCGGGCTAGCCGGGCAGGCTCTGGGCTAGCCGGGCAGGCCGGGCAAGCCGGGCAGGCCGGGCAGGCTCTGGGCTAGCCGGGCAGGCTCTGGGCTAGCCGGGCAGGCCGGGCAAGCCGGGCAGGCCGGGCAAGCCGGGCAGGCCGGGCAAGCCGGGCTAGCCGGGCAGGCCGGGCTAGCCGGGCAGGCTTTTGGCTAGCTGGGCAGGCTCTGAGCTAGCTGGGCAGGCTAGGCTATTAGGGCAGGTTCGTAGCTAGCCGGGCAGGCTCTGGGCTAGCCGGGCTAGCCAGGCAGGCTGGGCTAGCCGGGCAGGCCGGGCTAGCCGGGCAGGCCGGGCTAGCCGGGCAGGCTCTGAGCTAGCCGGGCAGGCTCTGGGAGTCGGGCAGGCCGGGCTAGCCGGGCAGGCTTTTGGCTAGCTGGGCAGGCTCTGAGCTAGCTGGGCAGGCTAGGCTAGCAGGGCAGGCTCTGAGCTAGCCGGGCAGGCTCTGGGCTAGCCGGGCAGGCTGGGCTAGCCGGGCAGGCTGGGCTAGCCGGGCAGGCTGGGCTAGCCGGGCAGGCCGGGCTAGCAGGGCAGGCTCTGAGCTAGCCGGGCTAGCCGGGCAGGCCGGGCTAGCCGGGCAGGCCGGGCTAGCCGGGCAGGCTTTGGGCTAGCCGGGCAAGCCGGGTAGGCCGGGCTAGCCGGGCAGGCTTTTGGCTAGCCGGGCAGGCTCTGAGCTAGCTGGGCAGGCTAGGCTAGCAGGGCAGGTTCTGAGCTAGCCGGGCAGGCCGGGCAGGCTTTTTTCTAAATTAATTTTAAAGAAAAAAACTTAAGTCAAAACATTTAGAATTAATTGAGATATTTTTTACTACAAAACAATTAATTACTCCAAAAACCATCATCATCATCATCAGCCGTGTTTTAAAGTTTTATTTAAATAAAACTTTATAATAGAATCAATTTATTAAAAAAAAATATAATAAAAAATTTTTGAGCTTGTGTTATTTTCAAAGAATAAGTAACATGCATTTAAATGTTAAATTTAATTAAAATGTTGTTCATCATAATAAATTGTTAATTTACGATAGCAAAATGCCCTGAAAATTGAAGCCAAATTTGCATATGTGAATTAATTAAGACAAAGAAAAAAGTTGACAAAAAAATTGAAATAAAATAATACCCGAAATATCTCAAAATGCCACGCCCCTTTTTGATTTTGGGCTGAAAACATAAACCTTCTTCATGACCACTGACCGCCTCTTTTCCCAGGGGAATCCTGGAGAAACGGAACAAGGGCATAATTGCAGGGGGGTGGCTCGTAATTTCCATGCATCAATCATAAATTCGCTCAAATTTGAAAACTAGGAAACCTGCCGCTACATTATCAAATCAGTGCTATTTGCAATCGCGCCTTTTTTTCTGCTAAGCGGAGGGAAAACGAGGTTAACGAGGGGGCGGAGTCAGTAATTGTTTACAAAGTGATGGACAATGTCGTGATTCGAGCGCCAGTTCAAAAATTTCGTGTTTTATTGGCAAAAGCCGAGTTAAGTCGGGTCCCGATGCCGAATTCGACCATCGTTCTTGTCAATGTACATAACTATGCAGTTTTCTATTGGACTTTCTGACTTTGAGGCAAGAAAAGTGCGTGAATTGTGATGAAGAAGACGTTCGGCTTTCAGCCTTGGAATCATCATCATCGCTGAACCGCCGCAGCACCTTCAAGGTATGTGGTACATAATTTTGAATTTGAAAAATTTTAAGGAATGACCTAAATTAGAAATGGCTTTCATTTCTCTTTAGTTTGCCTATGATTTGAATCGGCAAAATTTTCAAAATACCATCAACAAAGGGATCTAGGTTGTATGGATAATGTACATACATTTATTTAAATCCATCCGTGATAATTTATAAAATTAATCATATTCTAACATATTAATTTAATATGGAATTTTAATTATCATGCGAATTATGATTCTGGCCAACTTCACTTTCAATTCTGGACCCTTTTTCAACCATCTTATCATACAACGAAGGGACCAGAATTGAAAGTTGCACTCACAATTCTGGCCCCACACCTGAAAATCAACAAGTTTAATATTTACGACCCAAATCGCAGTGAAAATCAACAAGGAATAAAAAAAAATTAATCTGAAAAATTTATAAATAAATAGAAGAGATGCCACGCAATATTTCAAAATTTCCATTTGGTCCAATCTTGTTATAAATTATCAATGTTTTCTACCAAATTTGTGCAATAATGTATGCAGAGTAAATGTGAAAAAGTAGATAATATAAAAAAAAAACAATTTTCATCACCAAGTTTTCCGCAATTATCATGGAAAAGAAAATGAAATGTGGCCAGAATTGTAAGTTTAATATTATTCAGTCTAAAACTAATTATTTTTTTAATTTATTTACAAAAATAATTTAAGATTCAAACATATTTTAAAATAATTTCAGCATGTAATAATGATCATTTTCCTCCTCTATAAACTGCACTGTCGTGCATCCGTATTATGCGTGCAGTGCAGTGGGTATATTGTTGAAGAGGGCCTCATTAATAATTGGATGATACGCCGCTGCACATCCCCATTGTTGCGTTATTATCTGTCTGGCTATTGTGACGAGATCGTCAAAGCTCGCGCCATATTATAATGACACACGGGATGCATTCTCGTGATTTAATCCTCTCGTTTCAAAGATCGCAACCCCTTCACTCCGGAAAACCAGAGTGGCTCTCTAGTTTTTTTTTTATTCTAATGAAACGAAAGCAGGAGAGATTAAATTCAATTTTTTAACACACTCGTCGCCGCTTTTTATCATATCTGCGTGTCACATCTGACGTATCGCATGACCACGTTTTTATTTATGTAATGCCATCGAGAGCGTGCATCGGCCAATTGATGTACAATTTGACAAGGTGTGAAGTGACAGCCCCGAAGAACCGGGGCATAATTATAGGAGGAGGAATCGGACTTTCGGCTTGATTTGTCAATTCGACCTAGACTCTTTGATGCTGTAGTAGTTTTTATCTTGATGTTCTAATTACAAATGTTCTTATTGAAATTGGACAGAATGTGTAAAATACTAAAATTCCTGAATTTTTTAAGCCACAATTTTTTTTCCACTAGAGTAGTATATTTCATAAAATGGAATATAAAATCTAAGTTACACATTCTAGGCCATTTTTTTGACACGGGATCATTGGATTTTGATGAAAATTGACAGGTTGCTTTCCTATGGTATGAAGGATTTTGAAAAAGTCACAAATTGCTAATTTAACAGGGAACAGGGACAAAATTTTGATTGAAACTTCTAAAAATCACAAATTTACGATCGCTTTTATTTGTGCTTCAGAGCAAAATTCTAGGAATGAAAAGTTGGAAATTGAGCTTTGCTTAGGAGACAAAATTAGTAGGTCACCTATTTTGACCCGAAAAATTACAAAAAGCAAATTAAATTTTTAGAATTATAAAAGTACTAAAAGTAGCAATTTTTTTTTTTTTTAATAATAATAAAAATCATTTAATATAAAAATGTAGAAACAGTTTATTCTTATTCTTTTGTATTTTCTTAGATCAATATTAATTAAAGCTCTATTTTCGGAGGTAAAAAAACGTTGATTTGTTTATAAAAATTATTTTGTGCAAAAAGACCTTAAATAAATGTTTTACATGATATTGTACAAAAGTAACTATTGTATTTTGGTGCATCAGATTGTTGCCACAAAAATGTTTATATTAAGAAGTTTCGTACGTCTCAAGAAAACTATCTTGCATATAATTTTCTATTTAAATTTGCATTTTTTCCGACAATGCTTAATACTATAGAATCGTGGTGACTGTTTACAATTTTAAAATATCTACATAAATTATAATTTTAAAAAATTAGATAACCACCCCAAATTAACCAGAAAAAAATCCCTATTGTACTTGAAACGTCAAACTCATTTTGAAAATTTTGTTTTCTCTTTAAAAAAATTAATCGAAAATTTATCCTACAATGTTTTTGAACTTTATAGAAAATAGAAACTTGCTATTTGGTCGACTGTGGAATCGACTCCAAATCGAACTGGATAATTTAATTTGATAGGACAAAGAACGTGTTGACACCTGGAGCCGCGACGGAAGTGATAAAAAGCGACGAAAAAGGCCATAACAGGCGGGAATGGCCTGGCCACGAACGGAATTTGTAAAGAGAGACAAAAGCTTATAAACAAAATAAAAAAGGCAGTTAACACCTGCTATTAACCGAACCGTGGAATATTAATTAGTCGGCTATATTGGAAACGGAGAAATAAATTATGACGCGTTAGACGGACGGAAAAAAATAATAAAGGTGGAAAGGAGTCCCAAAAAGGCCGCGGCATTGTCAGAAGCTGAGTGTGCTTTTTAAATGGATTATTAAGCACTTTATACACACAGCCAGATTGTGTGTGTAATTTTTTATGGTCTCTCTTCTTCTGCTCGTGGAGAGTCAAGGCTTCTGTTTTAACAGCAGATAAAATCACTTTTTCATCTCGAACGGCAGCGATTTTAATATAGAAGAGAGAGAAAAAATGTGAGCATCACGGGGCGGACATTCAAAAGTCACTCTCGCGATCGACAATTTGAATAATGAAAAATTTAGCTTCGATTATATGACTCGACTAAAAAATATGTATTATTAAAAAACAAGACGAAAAGGGCCACGTATATTTAATACTATTAATAATAAATGAAACCTTGAAAGAGATAAATTAACTTGTTATATTAGATTTCTGGCCAGCGCGGTTTGTTTTTTTCTCCAAATTTTTCCTCTCTCCTTTCCCATTGTTGCTTTGTCGCGTCCGTCCGGCCTTCAAGATTTTAACTCTTTACAATTCTAAACAGCTTATCACTCGAGCTGATCGATTTCTCATTGGAAGAAGAAGAAGAAGAAGAAGTATTGCCCAAGAAATAAAATGCCGAAGAAGAAGTCACGACTTTTCTTCTTTTCCCGCTTCGGCGCGGAATCAAAAGGGCCGGTGACATCGCGCGATGCTGTTTGGTTTGTGAAGTGAAAATTAAAAGATTAGCCGCGTATATATTTGTACGCTTGCCTGACAGACCACTTTGTTGTGTTTGACTCTCGCGATGGAATAACGATGATAAATCGACTTTTCAACAAATATCTCCAGCAGGGTGCGCGCGCAAATTTCCAAATTCCTTAACATGACAGCCGTTTGTTTAGGGCCGATTTTTCAAAAGACGTGCGGCAAAGGTCAATGTCGAGACTTGCTCTTCAATGAAAACGAATGCTGCTCTCTTGCTTAAAAAATTTCTATCAAGAGGTTTGAAAGTTATATATAATTAAAAGTTAATAAAAATAATTAAAATTATATTTATAACTTTATTTTGTTTAATTTATAAATATTTTGTTATAATTATATTTGAGTGTTTTTTTTTTCGAATATAATATATTTAATACAAATTTTATCATTTATTTTCCTGTTTTGTAGACCTCTAAATGCTAGTTAAAAGTAGAATTTTTTATTACTTTTGAAATAATACTTTGCGCGGGAAAATTTATTTATAAAGATGCCTAACATTTCACTAAACTACACTTTTATAATAATTTGTATTTCATTCCAGGGATAATATATTTTTGCGACATTTCCCACGTACTTTAAATTTATATTGTATAAACACTTACTAAAATGTTTAAAATTATGAGTGAAGAAAAAAAAATACTTAAATTATCACGTATCATAAAACTTGATATACTCAAGATTAATTATTAATAATTTAAATACAGTTGGTTTCCATAAAAAACATATTTTTAGGTATATATTTAGTTGAATTGAGGAAAAATATCAACTTTTAAATTACTATTGTACGAAAAAATCCACTCGGAGGTAATTGCACAATAATGTCCATAGAATGTCTTGTGTAACATGAGCGGAAAAGCATGAGTTGTTATTCGGAATGAAAAATGATAAATAATTGTTGTCGGCCGCGTCAAAAAAAAACTAAGCATTCCGCTTTGATATGACGCATATTTTCCAACAATATCATGCCGAAATGAAAGAAAGAGATAAAAGGGAATGCTATACATTTATTTTTATATAAACGGCGACGAAGATGGATTACCGGCGGCGGCCGACCGACCGACGAGAAAAATGAGTGGAGAATCAACATTATTTTGTGGCGAGAGCCTTGGAATTCGTGGAGGAAGAGAGACGTGGAGCAAGTGGGCGGCTCACCAGATACTTTTTGTATTTCGGACCCATCAAAAAATAAGGCTTAGTCATGATTTTTGAATATAAAAGGGGGAAAATAACGCTAAGCCGCCTTCCTTATAAGCGCGCCGTGTGTACAATCTTAAATACCGCGTGCACCGTGTCCGACCATTTTTATACCGACGTACGTACTCCTTTTACATATACGTACAAAAAAATCACAAACCTATACACGCAGCAAGCGGATAGATTAATAAAAGTCGCCGCTCTGACTTGCACACTCTGCTCGCTGATGGACTGATGCCCATCGCGATTTGTATACAGACGGAACTTTGCATTTGATACTCAATCTGTTTAGTGGGGAATCTATTTCATGCGTTTCGATCGTCATCAACATCAAGAAAATGACCATAATAATTAAAAAGAACAGATCACATGGCAATGAGGTATTAAAAAAGTGCAAAAATTAGCAAAAAAAAAAAAAAAAAATGATTAAAATAAAAACTTAACACCGCCTATTTTTC